GAAAAATTGATGTGGGTACTTAAATGAAAGCTCTTGATGAGTGTAACATCGGGATGAGCTTATATCTTTAAAAACGTCAATAGTTAAAAAAGTACAGTACAATTTGACAAAATTACACATATTGACTGCAACGTTGCTAGTAAATTATTATTTTTTATTTCAGACATTACAAGCTTACGACATTGAACAGAACCGCTGGCATATTTTAGAAACTACCGGAGATCCAGAGAATGATAAACCTTATCCAGATCTCAGGATCAATTTCGGAATCGATCACGTAGTAGATCCTGAAACCAAGGAAACTAGTATTGTAATCTCTGGAGGAACGATGGATCGAAAAATTTACAGTGATGTTTGGCAGCTCAGGCTGTCAACGCTGCGATGGACCTGCTTGAATAAACTTGGATCTATTTTGCCTTTAGCTATTTGTGAGCATGATGCGACTACTTCCCGATATGGCAAGATGTACGTTTTTGGTGGAAGGATTAAAAGGACAAATAATAGAGTAATTATTTAATGCAAATTTTTTATTAGTAAATATGCAGACTATTGACAAGTTCTTTAAAATATGAGTTGAATCAATTAAATGTTTTACTGAAAAAATAAATCCAGCATATTTACTTAGTTTTTGATTTGTGTTAATTTTAAATTAATGATTTAATGTGTTTTCAGTTGACTGAAGTAAATTCTCTTTACTCAGCTTGGCTACGGATACCAAAACTAGCAGACATTTGCTGGGAAGCAGTTAATTATTATTACAAAGATTTAAATTCTAAAACAGATGAAGAACTGTTTGAACTTGGACTGCCAATTAAATTTGTGAGGTCTAGATGCCAGTGAATTTTATTTTTTATTTATGAAAAAAATTATAGATATTTTTTGATCAAATTATTTATTTAGTTTTTTATTTTATATACTATTGTAGTGAAATTTTAAATCAGACTGAATTGCATTCAACAATTTTTTCAAAGTTTACTTGAGTATTGAAAAATAATACTTGAAAATTTACTTTTATCTACTAATTAATTTTTCAAGTAATTTTTTTTTTTATTGAAATAAATTGTCGAATGTTATTGCCGCACAAAGTACTAAATCTTTATAAATATATTTATTTTTATAAATTTTTTCTGAGATAATTATGACTAATCATGTACCTCAAATTATTGGAATTTACAACTATAATTATGTAAAAGAATAATTTATTATGAAATAAATATGATAATGATAATAATTGATAAGTGATTTTTCTGTAATATTTATAAACAAATTATTTATTATAAAAAATATACAAAAAAAACATTTTGACTAATTTTTTAATTTATTATAAAAAAAAAAAAATTAACTTTCAGTATTTTTTAATTTCTCCATAAAGAAATTAAAAAAATTTTCTTATTAAAAAAAATCATAAAAATTGTCAAATCTCAATTTCAGTATATAAGACATAAATTGGATTTATTAATTAATAAGTTAATTCTTATTTTAATAAAAAATGAAAATTAAGTTAGCCGACATCTGAAAATGAAAAAAATTTTTTTTTACTAAAAAAATTATTGCAAAAAAATAAAAATAAAATTTCATTTGTAAAAAAACTGTAAGTGCAATTTTTAAAAAACATTTTTTGATTCTAATTTAATAAATTAAAAAATAATAAAAAATGAAAAAATTATTTCAAAATTCAGCCGGTAGATCGTTGACCAACTTCACGTCTGTTGTCATATGATGCACGTGTCACAAGTGTTGGTGATAGAATAAAAATTATAAATATTAAATAATAAAAAATAAAAATGTATGTATTCAAACCATTTGTCTTCACGGAGTGCTTGAACCCGATAAGTGAAGCACGACCATCACCCAGGACATTTCCTACGATATTCAGTGACGAAAAATACCTGTACTCTTTTAGTGGTTATAAATATATAGTCAACAGAGACACTATCACCGACTACGACAACCCTAAAATAATAAAAGAAATCTGGAAGTACAACTTGTCCACCGGTGTCTGGTCATGCCTGCCAAAGCAGCAGTACCTCCCAACAAACAGCGAAATAATTCTCGGTATGACATTCAAGTCTGACAAATTAATCGTCGCCACTTGGAATGAGAACCAGACGAAAGGTTACCTCTACACCCACCACCTCAAGGACGAGAATAGAGTCGTCAAGATAAAAGCCAAGGGACCTATTCCTGAGCGGTCTATTATCCACAATTTTGTAAATCATGGCTCTTATTTGTACACCATTGGTAATAATCACAATTTAAGTGTCTACAGAGTCGACCCGGAGACCGCGATCTGGGAAAAACTCACCCCTGAAAATGGAAATGACTTTCCAGGGTATTACGAAGACATTGAGCTGGCTTATGATGGAAAAAGAATTTATGTATTATTTATTAAATTGTACGAGGAGAGAATCCGCGAAATTAAGGTATCAAAACTTAGCTCTGATCTATAAAAATTTATTTAGGAGATATTTGATATTTTTTTAACTAATAAATTATAAGAAAAAAAAAATAACATGTAGTAATTTTAAAAAATTAAAAATGCTATTTTTTAAGAGTAATTTTTCAGAATAAATTTGTTTTTTAAATAAAATTAAAAAATTGTCAAGTGACTGCTAACTTTAATGCCATCTCTGATGTATAAAAATTAATTTAGCAGATATTTGACAATTTTAAGAATTTTTATAACTAATCAATTATGACAAAAAAAAAAAAAAAAAAAATGAGAAATAAAAATTGACATACCTAGAAATTTTAAAAAATTACAAATGCAATTTTTTTTAATTCATTTTTCATAACAAACTTATTTTTAAATAAAATTGTCAAGTGACTGCTAACTTTAATGTCATTTCTGATGTTGAATAATTTTTTAAAATAAATTTCTTAGATTAATTTTCATTTTTATTTAGACAATTCAAGCCTACGACGTTGAGCAGAATCGCTGGTACATTTTAAGCACCACCGGAGATTCAAACAATGAAAAGCCTTTTCCTGATGTCAGGACTAATTTTGGCAACTCCTCGTACATTGATCCGCTGACTAAGGATGTGAGTGTGATAATTTCTGGAGGAAATATGAATCACATGATTTACAGTGATATTTGGCAGCTGAATTTGCGCACACTTCAATGGACCTGCTTGAATAAATTCGGGTTTACTCTGCCTCAACCTGTTTGCGAGCACGATGCTCTGATTACATATAAGGGGAAGATGTACATCTTTGGTGGAAGAATCAAGAATACAAATGACAGAGTAATTATCAATGTTTATACTACTGATTAATTTATTCTTGTAGCTGTAAATGCTGAAAAATTATTTATTATTTTCAGTTGATGGAAATAAATACTCTGTACTCCTCGTGGTTACGAATACCTAGGCTCACAGATATTTGCTGGGATGCTGTCAATCACTATTACAAAGATCTGAATACTAAAACAGATGAGGAGTTGTTTAATCTTGGCCTACCTGTTAATATTGTTAAGTCTAGATGCCAGTGAATATGTTTATAAGAATAATTAAAAATAATAATAATAATAATAATAATAATAAATACCCGTGATTTAGAAACAAAGTTTTATTTAAAGCAATTGTACAAAAGTATTACTTAACTGCTTATAATTATTTTAGATACTTTCTTTAAAATTTTAACATTTTTTATATAAATGTAAAAGTTTTTTTTTTTTTTTTAAGTATGAGGTAGATTTTTTTTATTAATATTTTAAAGTTACAATGAACGTAAAAGAAGACTTAATAAAAAGAAATTGTATATAAATACGCACAAAAAAAAAAGAGTTTGTAATTAATTTTGATCATAAAGATCATCTGGCTCTTCAGAAAAAACTTGTTGCTGTTGTTCTTGAGCTGGAGCTTGAGTCGCAGATTGCGGGAATCTGAAATTAGATCCAATTCCACGAGACTGTTGAAGAGTAATGGAGAAACTTTCATACTTTCTTATATCCGCGTCAGAAACAGAACGACGAGCGAATTTCATCGCTTGTTCAAAATGTTTCTTCGTAATTTCCGGAACTGGATCATCTAAATCCTCCATCTCCATTTTAGCCCCCTCGCATTCTTTTTCTCTACGAGTATCAATCTCAATACTCTCTCTGATCGCGAGTTTGCAAGCTCGTTGGCAAATCTCAGTCAAATCTGCTCCAGAGAAGCCGCGAGTAGCTTCAGCTAGAAAACTCAAATCCACATCCTCAGCCACTGGTGATTTCCGTAAGTTCGCTTTAAGAATAGCTTCCCTAGAAGGCTTATCAGGAAGTGGAATGTAAATAAGTTGGTCCAGTCTTCCCGGACGGAGCACCGCTGGATCAATGATATCCGGCCTGTTAGTCGCTCCAATTATAAACACATTTTTCTTAGCACCCATTCCATCCATCTCCGTGAGAATCTGATTAATAACTCGGTCCGAAGCGCCACCAGCGTCTCCATTAGAGCCGCCTCGTGCAGCAGCGACAGAATCCAACTCATCAAAGAAAAGAACACACGGAGCAGCACTTCGAGCTTTATCAAAAATATCTCTTACATTGGCTTCACTTTCTCCAAACCACATCGTTAGCAATTCCGGTCCTTTGATGGAAATAAAGTTAGCTTGGCACTCATTAGCAATTGCCTTAGCTAACAAAGTTTTACCACATCCAGGTGGTCCATAGAACAAGACTCCTCTTGAAGGCTGCATTCCGAACTTCAAGAACATCTCAGGACGTTCAACAGGGTACTGAACAAGCTCCTGCAACTCTCTCTTAACATTCTGCAGCCCTCCGACGTCCGCCCAAGTGACATTAGGAACCTCCACAGAAGTTTCTCGCAGCGCGCTTGGAGCACTTTTGCCCAGAGCGAATCTAAAATTGTCCATTGTTACCGACAAAGATGCCAGAACTTTAGCGTCAATATGATCATCATCCAGATCAATAAGATCCATTTTCTCTCTAATTTGCTGAAGAGCAGCTTCAGAGCACAGTGAGGCCAAATCAGCGCCAACATGGCCATGAGTTTCAGCGGCAATTTGTTCTAACTCAACGTCATCAGCAAGCTTCATATTTTTGGTGTGGATTTGAAGAATTTCTAAGCGACCAATTGCATCAGGAACTCCAATATCAATTTCTCTATCAAAGCGCCCGAAGCGGCGCAGAGCTCCGTCGATACTATTGGGACGATTCGTTGCTGCCATAACAATAACATGTGCGCTTTTCTTCATTCCGTCCATCAAAGTCAGCAATTGCGACACAATTCTTTTCTCAACTTCTCCCTGAGCTTTGTCGCGTTTTGGCGCAATTGCGTCTATTTCATCAATAAATATAATAGCTGGGGAATTTTTTTCAGCTTCTTCAAAAGCTTTGCGCAAATTGCTCTCAGATTCTCCTGCCATCTTGCTCATAATTTCCGGTCCGTTGATCAAAAAGAAGAAAGCGCCACTTTCATTAGCGACTGCGCGAGCAATTAGTGTCTTTCCAGTTCCTGGTGGACCATACATCAATATTCCACGTGGAGGCTTAACGCCGATTGTTTTGAATAATGAAGGGTGACGCAGGGGCAATTCGATCATCTCTTTTATTAAAGCTAATTGCTTGCGCATCCCGCCGATATCGTCGTATCCTACAGCGTTCAAAGACTCTTCTTCCTCTTCTCGTTTAACTGGCTCGCCTTCGCAGTGAATAACTGTTTCTGGTGCGACGATGCAAAACGGACCTGGGTCTGTTTCAATTACTTTGAACTCTACTGGTCTCATTGTTCCTCTGACGATGAAAGTGTCGCCCTTGTGAACTGGACGGTAGGCTTCTAGGAAGTAAGGCTTGAGGTAAACTTCGAATAAATTACCCGTAAGTCCTTCAACGGTATCATCAATTGGTAGTATATGGACTCTTTGTCCGTATTTAATTTTTGGACAAGGATGAACAGTTACCGTATCGCTTGTACGGACTCGGAGGTTGTTCCTGATGGTGCGGTTCATTTTGATCTTCTCGTCGGAGCAAGCGCCGTCAGTTACGGCAATGCAAACTGTTTCTTTACGTCTTTTTCCTTTTAATAAGACTGTGTCTCCACGGAATAATGTAAGTTTAGTTATTTTGTTTTCGGACATGACGACTATGGAATTATCGTCCATGACGGCATCTTCAACCAGCAATCTATTTGGCTTGGTTTTGGATTTTAAAATAGCGGTAGATAAATCTTCACTGGGTTTGTCGCTCATTTTTATTTATTTAGTTTTATAATTGTAAATTAATGAGGCACTGAAACATAACCAAAGATTTTTTTGGTTAGATTATTATTTTACAAAAATATAATTTTTTAATTTTGTTAATTAATGTAATAGTTACCTTGATATTTAGCGAAATAGGTGTAGAGTATCGGGACAGCGTGTATGGAAAACTGAACGATGAATGACTAAGTCAAATTGAAACTGAAACTGTAAGGTTCACAGTGCGATGATCAAAGCTGGCTGACAAAAGCGGAAGTGCTGAGTCACCAGTATGGAGGGTAGAGGTAAGGAGGACCATTTCTGTGTATGAAAAAGTGTCCCGTAAAAACGCGTCCAGTAAGAGTGGCGCTGCAGTAGCAGTCGATAAATTTTAAAGAAAGCGCCAAACGTAATTAGAAAAAGATAGAGAAATAAACAAGGACCGAGCAATTTCCTCTTCCTCTTGGTGTACTTTTCAAACAAAATATATGATTGGAGCATACTCATATGATATATTATTATAAATTAACGCGTTCTTTCACAAGTCATATTGAAATTTCCAATTATGCATGAAATTATAAAGACAATATAAATTAATAATTAGAAAAGTATCGTTTTAAACAATTAAATTAACGAACGTGTTACCAAAAATATATTTTTTTAATTAGTTATGAAAAAGTCCAAAATTTTCATGCCGTCAATTTGAAAGAGCTCCAAATAGAATACGTAATGACTTTAAATTATTAAAAATTTGTTTGTCAAAAATAAAATAACCAATTTTTTGGGATTTCATAAACAAGTTGTAAGGTAAAATGAATCAACAAACGGATTCAAAAAGAAATTCTACGAATATAATATATTATTAAATTAGATAAATAAACTAATACATTTTCAACAATAGTTATAGTTAAACATATTTTTTTAATAACAAGTTGTGTACTTATGATAGTAGTTTGGCATTTTTTCTATTTGCTTTGGTCTTAATTTTGGCAGCTTCGTAGCGTTTATTTTCAGATTTAGCCAAAAAATGAGTATAAAAATCAATACATAAAAATCAATAATTTTGATAGTTAATTCTTTTTCATGTTGAAAGCACCCTACTCTTTCTCCTCTTGATAATTCTCCTCTTCTAATAAAGCTTCCCAATTTTTTTTTTTTTACTATATTCCATAAGGGGTCTGTAACACCAATAACATTATTTATAATAATCTTCTGTGCTTTACAGGACATACCATTACTTTATATTGTACCTGGAATTCCTGCAATTTGTCATCTAAAGTTGATGTTCGGAAGCATTTTATTAAATGATTAAAATCCGAAATCATCCACAATCGCCGTGAGCTATCAAAAGGATGTTCACAGCTGATGTTTTTGTCGTCAATACCGAAAATTTTCCAAACCCCTCTATTCCACGATGCACCATCCATAACTACGGCATCAATACAGATTCCACTATTTTCCATCAGTACAATACACTCTAAAATAAGCTTATGCAGTGGTTCACTTTTGCAAGCATTCTTAGAAAGAAAGCAGCCTAAAGCTTGAACCCACCTTCCTCTGAACGGTACAAACTTAAAAACTAAGGCATGATCTGCTGTTTCATTTTTCAATTCTTCCGGGGTGTGTGCTGCCCAAGATCTACAAAACCACTGAATTTCATAGAATGTTGATCAAAATGAACACCTTCACTTAATTTCATTTCGTCAACCAAAATGACTCCACGTTTCTCTCCTTTTGTCATTGCTTTACATCTTTCTTTCAGGCTAAGAAAAGTAGCCGGTTGAAACCCGTAAGCAGAGCAGCTAATTTTTCGAATGTATTTATTCAATGTTTCTAAACATGGCAAAGGCAAAATTTTTCTATTCCGCAAAAGTTGATACGTATTTCGATTCTTTAAACGTATCAACATATATTCATAAATCCATTCTAATGTATATCGCCGTCCTTTTGATGTTTTTTTCTTTGCAGCTTCGAAGCAGGAATTTACAACAGTTTGAAATTCTAGTGGTAAATTTTTGATAGCTTCTTGTAGTACAGCTTGTGATTTTTGAGCACACTTAGACTTGGCCATAGAGATTTTATCTTTTAGCCGAATTTTCTAAAAATATAATTATATTTTCTCGCATATTCTATACACTTACATTAAGATGATCCTCTCCACAATCCTTTCCTACCAAAATATCCTGTTACGTGAATGTTGGAACGCTTCACGTAATAATTATCCGTAACTCCTATTCTTTCCCGCTTCACAGCATTATTTATATTTGTTATATCATCTATAGATGATAAAGTTGGAACTGCATTACTGATTAACCTTTATTGTAGTGCAATGGCAATCATTCTTCAAGACTTCTATTTAATTTAACTAAAATTATTAAATTTATACTATAGTATAAATCTTTTTTTATTTCTATTGCACACTTAGCATTATCGTTGACTTATAAAACAATTTGCAATTATATTTGTTTGCATATAAATAATATGTGAATTTTTTTTTAATTTCTGAAACAATTAACTGTTTTATATTATTCATAACTATTAATTACTCTACATAACTTAAGAAAAAAGATTTAGTTTAATAATTTTATTAATTTGTTATTAGACGGTACAAAATTTATATTCTGGTGTGCATTCTTATGATTTTCTGAACCTAAATAATTTATAATTTCAACGAATCAACAATGAGCAATGTACAAATCTTTAATATTATAACAACAGAATAAATGTACAATTTTTATGCACAAAATTTACAATTGTAAAAAAAATACTTTACAAATATAAACATTATGAATATTTTACAAGGAGAATTAATTTACAATTGATA